TTCTACTTCCACCAGCTGCTGGATGAAGGCTATAGGATGGCATATGCTTCTCATTCTGCTAGCGCCCCCCCCACCCCCCGGCGGGATTCTTGTATCCACATTTGCCACTATCTTTGTCGGGCACTCCGGTGGTCCTGTTATCTCCAAAATTCTGGCATCTCAATTACAACCAAAGCTTTACCTTTGGTTGTAATTTATCCCTGACCTTTCTGCAGGGATTCTGACCCTTCCACAAGGTGCCATGTCACTGCCATTCTCTATGACACTCTCAACCTTCTATATTTCATGCTTTCAAAACCAGTACCACATCAAAGATTCTTAGAACATTACCAAGTTCTGCTTCCAGCTTGATTCAAGGTGCCCTTGAATCAGTTTCTGTGTGCTGACTGTGAAGAAAGAATCTCCTGCTGTTCCAGTGAAGCACAGAGCTCACCTCAGTGGTGTTGAACTCTTACCAAGAACAGCTGATTTTCCAGCCTCAGCTTGACGAACACACATGGATTCTTTGGCAATGTATCACACCATTGGCCACTGGCTTAGTTCTTACTGAAGTCCCTGTTTGCCTCTGAAACACCATGAGCTGAGACTTCCATGTCCGGGATTCAACATTCTCTCCTCCCAAGGATCCACTGTAATGGTCCATTAAACTCTGCCCAAGGCATTCAGTGGACTTTGCAGCCCAGAGCTCCAAAATCCCTACATTTCCTCTTCTAAATAATATGGTGAATTTCATAAAAGTGACAACCCCATTTCCTGTTGCAGAATATTTGTTTACACTGGGTGAAGATGTGTCACTGTGATTGGTTTAATAAAGAGCTAGGCCAATAGCAAGGCAGGAGATATAGGTGGGACTTCTGGGAAAAAGAAAGGAACTCAGGATGTTTCTAGGTGTGAGAGAGGATGCCATAGAGAAACACAAGGAGTCAGACACATAGAATGAGAGAAAGGTAAAAGTCCCATGTTAGAACACAGATTAATAAAAATATGGGCTAATTTAAGGTATAATAGCTAATGGGAAAAGTCTTCCTATCATTTATTTGAGAGCTGGAGGCACAAAGAAAAATACTGCAATGATTTTCTAAGTACCAATTTCTGTTCTAGTTATGTTTCTATTTGTTGTTGTTGTTGCTGTAGTAAAATACCTTGACAAAGATCAGCTTAGGGGAGAAAAGGATTTATCTGGTTTATAATTCTAGGTCCCTCAGTGAGAAGTTAAGACAGAAACTCGAGCAGTCATGTTATCCACGGGGGCTCCCCAAATTCTACAATAACATCCTGGGCCAGGCCTAGGCCCTCCCCCATGTGTCCAGGCTGAGAGTGCATCCCTTCACATGGGATGGGCTCTCAAAGTCCCTTCTTACACCAGGGAAAAATACTGATCCACTACCAGAGGCCCCAAGGGTGCTGAGGCCTCCTCATTGACATCCACTTTCAGGGGTCTGGATCAGTCCCGTGATGGCCTCCCAGACAGCAATCTGGGGTCCATGTGCTCCCCCTTGTTCAGGTCAGCTGTTTCTGTGGGATTTACCAACTTGGTCCTGACCCCATTGATCTTCATTTCTCCCTCTCTGCAACTGGTCTCCAGAGTTCAGTTCAGTGTATAGCTGTCACTCTCCCCCATCTTAACACTATGTGTTCTCTTTTTGGGATAGCCTACCTAGTTTTATAGCTTATACCTACTCTCACACCCTTTATTTGCTATATATAAATATTCAGAGTAAAGATCCACACACTAGGTATATCATGCAATTTTTTTCTTTCTGAGCTTGGGTAGAATTTAATATAATGCTTTCCAGATCCATTCCTTTACACATAAATTTCATTTTTCTTTATAGTTAAGTGACATACATATAGCTATAACTGGTATGTAGTTACACTGTGTCTATACCACACTTTAATTCCATCCACCCATTGATGGACATCTAGGATGATTCCATTTCCTTACCCTTGTGAATAGAGCAACAGTAAACATGGACTTGCAGCTATCTCTATGGTAGGACAGGGTGTTCTCTGAGTAGGTACTCAGGAGTGCTATTTGCAGGTATATAGTAGCTTTCTTTGTAAGCTTTTAGAGATCTCCGCGTTGATGTTCACAATGGCTATACTAGTTTACGTGGAAACATGCTACTGTTGAGGGAAAACCGTAAAGGGGATACAGGATTTCTCATGCTATTTTTAATAACTGCATGTCATCTCACAATAAAATTTTAATAGAAAACAGTATATTTTAGGGTTTAAAAATTTTGTTTAAAAACCCTATGTAGTATGTTTTCTAAAATTATAAATATATTTAAGCAAACTACTGTACTTGCTTTTTAAAATACGAAGACATATTTGATTTAAGGCCTCTAGGCTAATATGGAACTCCACAAGGGTTTCTGATACTGGTATAATATGGAGACAGTATTGAGCTTTCTTTTTTGACTGTGGGTAGTGATGGAGGTGGTGGCAAGCACTACTTTATTATATGCAGTTATCGCATATTCTAAATGAGTTAGTTACATGTTTCAGCCAAATTAGTCCCTTTCTGTTCTGAATTCATAGTTCTCCCGCTTTGAGACTATAACTTTTATAGTGGGAATTAGAAGAGAAGGATGTTATGCACTCACTGAGTATACTGTTACACTGTTGAGGATTTTTACCCATTCTTTCAAAAAGTCATATTCCACTTACATAACCCTAGATTGCTTTAGGAAAGGATTTCTAATGATTATATCAATGCTATAAATAAAGAGCCTTTAATGCGGTATTTCACTGTATGTCATCTTGGCTGTCCATCAGATGATTTTTGTTTCATATTAGTTGATTGGTTGGAGCATTATGTTGCAGATTTTCTTGCTATGAATAATCCAGGTACAGTTATTAGCCTATAGTCATTGATGAAAAATTGCCTTTTGGGGCTATTGTGAGTGTTCACAGCCTCCTGGATCTAAAGAGCTTCTCCATCTATCAAAAAAATCTTAATAATAGCCTTTTGGCATTGTGCTGCATTGTCAAATATGACTGTATTAAACACATTTAAAAAGATTAAATAAAAGTAGTCACACTTGTGAACTTGCATTATCTACTGAGGGGTGAGAAATGGACAGAACCAAATGTTCACACTGCCTTCCTTAACTGATCATGTCTATTACAACTTGTTCTCTGGAGCCTAGTCAATGTCTTCTGTCCAAACTTACTGAAAATATAACCACTTTCAGATGGTTCTTATATACTACTAGTAAAGTTAACAGCATGAATGATGGCTGATAAAATTTAAATGTCATCATGGCTAAAATTTCTCTCAGAGTTGAAATATCAGATTAATTTTTAAAAATTGCACTGAGAGCTAGGTCAGCTACCATACACACCTGCCTTTTGGGAGGTGGGGAACTAAAAGGTCAGTGTGTTGCCAAATGAGTCCTTTTCCAAAGCTATCTATTGAAAATAATTAGACAATGTAAAAATCTACTAACACCACCATACTATTATAATGATAAAGCTGAGTTTACAGTTGTACATTTGAAATCACAGTAAAGTCCCTGATTTGCTTCTGATGGATGACTTGATGTAGAAAGCACAATTTTAAAATGTCATGTGAAGTGTAAGCAGTAAGTAGTGTCATACAGAGTGGGCAAAATCAGCACACAATGAATTTTCTGAGAGGCAAATGGTACAAGTTGGCATAATTTTGTCTCAGAGATAATTGTAAACTTACAGCAAAATTTCTAGGGCAAAAGGTAAGGCATTGACAAAACTTAAATTAGCTCATGTTTGGTATTCTATCATTTATAGACAAAGCTAAACATGGCCAGTGTTTCCACAGAAGTGAGTGTGACATTCTAGTGATGACAATACTAGGGAAAATTGTTCTGGAAAGAGGAGGATAATTTATATTTGAATATTTGATGCCAAAGTAGCTGGCATTAGGTATTGACCTGTGGGGAAAGAAAGTACTAAAACTGTATTAACATTTCTACAGTATTTCAGAAGTAATGTATTAGGAGTTAAGGAGCATGTGATGCACACCTGGACTTCATAGTCCAGAAGCAAACTTCAAGAAATTGTTAGAAGCAGGGCCTGGAAGCACACACTTTTAATCCTAGCACTCAGGAGGCAGAAGCAGGCAGATCTCTGTGAGTTTGAGGCCAGCCTGGTCTACAGAACAAGTTCCAGGACAGCCAGGGCTGTTACACATAGAAATCCAGTCTTGAAAACTTGGCACCCCCCCAAATCAAAGGAAATTGTCAGTGAGATGACATGATAACAGTCACATGATAACCCTGCCTCACACTTAAAGACACAGGCTCTAAAAAGAACAAGACATAGATGAGGTGTAAACTGGAAGGCAGTTTGAACAGGTAAGTTTTAGATGTCTCACCATAAGTCCTGTTTTGACATTTTATAACTTTTGAGGAAGAATAGTGATCTAACAATAAAATGTAATTGTATGAAGAATCCTAACAGATTCCAGGGCTCTGCATTATATGAAGGGAATTTCTGTATCTAGAACAAGGGACAACCCCATTTTCTTCTGGGTTTGTTGGTAGATGCTATTTGTTTAAATAGGTTTAATGGTACTATATTAACATAAATACTTAACAGAATTGTGATGATGATGTGAAGGGGAGTGAGACAGAAATACAGAACTAAGAGCTCATGGTGTCCCCTTAGCAAACATTTGGATGGTGATAAAGGTGATGGTGATGGAATTCCCCATGCAAACTCATGTTTGATTGCTTCTTAAAAATCACATTAAAATCCAGATGATTCCTGTGATCAGTTTAATTCTTTTAATACAAATAAATCCTCACGGTTACAGTAGTAATTTGGGAATCAGAAATGTAAGATACATTCTGTGCAAATAATTTTTTTTTATTTTGAAATTATTTTAATTTAGAATAGAAAACCTCTTAGGGAGGAGGAAAGGAAAAAGAAACCACAAAGTATACATGTAATGTTTTACTTCATGAGCTTCTCACACCCTCATTTGTTCACTAGTTCCCACAAAGAGAAAGCACTCAGCCACCCACAATAATGTTATCAACAGGGATATGGATCAGTTTCACAAAGAAGCCAGTGAATCCCATGACAGTAAATCCTATGGCTGTGGCCATGGCAATCTTCTGGAATCCTTTTCTATCAGGTTTGGTGCATCTTTTAAGCAGCCAAATTGAGTCCTTGACGAACTGCCAACTCAGTTCAACAAACGCCTGGTCCATGGTTGACAGTTGCCGGATGTCAGCTTGAGAAGTTCTGCAAATAAATTGTTAAACTAGCATTTGTGAAAGGACAGTGTGAACACCTCTTGTCATAATAGGTTAATAAATATCCTGCTCTTTATCTGTATTAAGGGAACTTTAATGAAATGTAGTCAACATGAATGGTGAATAGGCTATTCATTTGATCTTAGGAGCTATCTATTATGCTTGCAGTTGTGTGTGTATGCATGAGGGTAGTAGTCTTTGTACAGACAGAAGTTGTTCCTTCCAGTTTCATTTGAGGACACTAAGTAGGTTAAAACCCCACCCTACCCCCAGCAACTGTGACAGAAATCTAGCTGGAATATATTAGTTGTTGCTTTCTACACTATAAGTTAATGTCCAGTTAGTAGCCCATTTAGAACCAGGAACTGAAATACAGGCTGGAAAATAATGAATATCACCAGACAAGCTACAATCTGACCTCACCCTCTCTGGTCCTGCATGTTTCGGCCTGATCACCAGCCGGAATGCACCTTGGCTTTCCCATCACAGGCTGTCTTCACCCTGCCCAGATTCGTGATCTAGACTGGTTGGCAGGATGCAAGAAACTTCTAAAGTTACCCTACTCTAATAAATTTTCACAAAAAGCACTCCTTCTTTTGACAAGATAGTAGTATTGGAAGACACATTAAATGGCAAACTCACAATTATAAAAAAGAAAGTTAGAAGTTAAACAAAATGGAGGTAATTTGTTAATGAAATAAAAATGTCACTAAGACTAGTTCTCCTGCTGTGCTAAGCAACAGAGCTAAAGATAAAAGATGGAGCTTGACATATACCTGCTGGAGAGAAAATGTACCTCAAGATGTTAGAGTAAACATAAATGTGTTCCTAGGGTTTTAAAAATCCAGCTAGCAGAAACTCTCCAACAACTGGTCCCTTTATCGTGACATCTGTTTTTGAATTCAGCTTTGCATGCTAGCTGTAGAAAATACTTGTGCAGCACTCCACGAAGCTGTCTGTGGTAGCAGACCAAATGCTACATTCTATGGCCAAGGGTGATGAGTGGAATGAAGGCAGCAGCAGAGAAAGGCCCAAGGCAATAAGATGTGAGCTGGGGAAGACACACATTTGAATTCCATTTTTCTTTCAGGAAGTAATTTCAAAAGGCACAGAACTGAACTGAAGTGTCATTGAAAAGCCCCATCAACTTTACCCACCTGTAGAGAAAGGAATGACCTGGCTAGGCTGGGTCTCTGTGGAGTCAGACTCTGGCTATGACTAGTGTCTTCACTCATCATTTCTGAGTTCTCTTCCTCTCTTCCTATCTTACACTCTTTCGTTCTTTTCTTTCTGTCTCCCTCCTTTCTCTCTTCTTTGCTGCCAGCCCCTTTTCTCTCACAGCGCTAGAGCGAATCCAGGACCTCACACAGCCTAGGTTCGGCCATTCCAACTCCATTCCTCTATTCATTATGCGTTTTAGATTACTTTTAGAAATTCCAAGATTTATTCAAAAGGGAAAGAAATTGTGTGAAACACCTGCTCACAAAGGAATATCATTAACTAATGATGAAATAGTTACTGTCATTTAGAAATAAAAATGTTAAGAGGAACTGCAACTGTGTTTGTACAATTTCCTTTTATTATTGTTTTGGGTGGAGCTAGAGATTTAACTGAGGGCCTTGTTCGTGCTAGGCAGTCTACTGCTAAGCCATCTTGCAAGCTTTTTTTTTTATTTTGTTTTGTTTTTTAAATTTAAAAATGTCTAGCCCTCTAAACCGACAAATGACATAACATATCCTGGTGATACATGGGAAGTAGGAAAGGATGAAAACTTAAATATATTAAAAGGCTTCATAGTATTCTGACCACATGCTAACATCTTCATATCAGTTTTTCTATACTAAGCCCAACTTCTATCACTATTCATGATTTATGAATTAGAAAACGAAAGCTTAGAAAAATTATCAGAGAGGCAGAAAGGGATTTGAACTCATCTCTACAGATCCAAAACTTGACTAAGTTTTTCAACTGAATGTAACACTGTCAACTCACCCAATGTGTGGCACAGACTCCAAGGAGATAATACCAGGGATGAACTTATAAGAGAAGCAAAAGTTAAGCTCATGTCGCAGTCCCATGTAGAAATTTGAAATACAGAGAATAGAACTGAGTTACGGAGTAGCAGAGCTTTGAAAGCAGCAAGAAACAAAATGGTCCAGGCTTCAGAGAAACCACAGAGTAGCTTAATGCCGCTCAAGGGAAAGCTGGAGGATGTAGAGGGGAGAGGGTTCCTCCTACTCATTTAATTACCATCTCAGATTGCTTTCAGTGGTTCCAACTCATCATGGTTTTATAGTCCTCCTTTGACTTGTTGGTGCATACGCTAGAGTCCATAGCAGCCTTCTCATATTAGAAATGTATTGGTGAGCCACTAATTACCTTCATCTTACAACCGATGAGCAACGCAAGCCTCAGATTATGTGGGTAGTCATAGGAGTGGTTCTAAGAACACAAAATCTATCAGCTGTCTTTCTTGCTTGGAAGAATTGATAGTAAAATATTACAATATTTTTATTCCCAACACTTAAGGCTCATTTTTTCTATATTAAAATCCTGACCATTTTCCCAAGAAACATTTTCATAGTTTTTGAGACATTCATGTTTTTTTTTT